TGCTAACAGTAATTCGATAATTGATTACAATAATTAGGTGATTCATATAATAACGATCATTTTTATGTCCCCATATTAGTAAACGCAAATAATATTACGGGAAACGTTTCCGGCCACAGCATTACGAGAGTTTTATCTGTCCAGTGTACACTGTAATATTAACATGGTTTTATCAATAGCGTCGTTATAGTTTTGCAGTCAGAAATATTTTAACTGTAGTCCAAATCACAGCAAAGYGATGCTCGATGTAACATATAACATAGTGAGTGATATAATAATATGGTAGTTGAATCCGGTCCTATTATTGGTATATTATGAGTTTATTAGATAATGTATATATTAAACGCCTATGATTACCTACACTGTATCCAACATACGTATATTAAATAAAGCATATAATGTATAGTTGACCTCCAAAGAACGATAAAAGMTTATTACACGTCTGTCGGCCAATATTGTCAATTATTATTTTTTTATGTTATGTTGAAAAAAAATATATTCATTACTAGGTATTTAGAAATTTTCATAAACCACGTGAAAAATGTACATTGTTTTTAATAATACATTTAGTTAGATCACTATTTTAAGTTCTATTAGTTTATCAGTATTTCACTWAGTTGTATGGGAGTTATAATAATATGAAYTTTAAAATGAACCTATACTTAAAATACCTGTATGGATTATTACTAACTTTACATTCTCCAGTAAATTTGATTTGGAGTTTTTATCGTCTAATTGAATATACATTTTAATACGTTTTTGTAGGTATGCTCTTTTAACAATATTCTTTAAAACCATCCTAAGTATCCACACGTTAGAATATAATATCTAAAACATTAAATAATTGCATATATTTTGTAATTTTAATGTTTTAAATTATTAAATGATTTATAGCTATAATATTAAATGTTGAAAATATGTATTCATTGCCTAATTATTATTATGGTATAGGACATAGATGATAAATAATTTCAAATAACTAATTTTTAATTCACTTTCATAGTAGATGTCTTTTTTTTTACATCCAGTATTCAGTGCCATAATAATAAGTGATAAATGATAACACTGTATTATAATAGAATATGAATAGGTACATAAAATACAAATACAAAATATGAAATATTATTTTATAACTTATCTATTTTCTAGGTAAATAAATAATTAACTGTGATCTGTATTTATTAAAAATGTTGTTCTATAAAAGTACTAATTTAATATCTACCAATAAATTGYATGAACATTTTTAATACTTACATTTGAATTTTGTTTTCGATTCTTCATTTTCAAAAATAGATACAAGTTGTTGAACCTTTAAAGATGGTTCGCTAACTGTACATTTATGTTCATTGATGATTTTTTCATTACATTCATTTTCATTTAAATTGAAACTATCATTGTCATAACTATAGTTATCGGACATGGTTTATCTTGATAATAATTTTAAAAAGGCAAACTACCTACTTCTGATTGAAAACATGAAATGAACACCAGTTAATCTTTTCAATTACCTTAATACTTCCACCTTTTATTGTAGTAAGTGTAAGCTATTAATTAGCTGTAATAATAAACGGTATATATTTAATATTTACACATGCTTTTAATCATGTCATAGGTATGTTTCTGATTCAATAGTTTATATTTTTAATTGTTTTAAAATTACGCACGGAACACGCTACTATTGATACACGTACGATTAATGTTACCTATCAATAATGTATTATAAGTACTTTGCATAATAAATGATATTATTATAATTTATTAAAAGTGAGTACATATATTATGAAGTCATTCTTTTATCAAAACATATTATATATTTTATAGATTGGTTTTAAGTTATATTTTCACCATTTAGTGTATAGGTAAGTTTAGATAGGTACCTAAATTAAATATTGTTAGCGAGTTTTTATTTTGAAGTAGTTAATTTTTACGTTTTATTTTTACTTTAATTCTTCATTTTATTTACAATAAACATCAAAAAACATTTATTAAATGATTATGCATATAATCTGTACCAATATTATAAATATAGTAAGGGTAACAATAACAATATTATCAAATTAATAATGATACCGAATCATTTAAAATTATATAATTTATAGGTACGCCTAGGTAACATATAAGCTAAGAACTTAATTAATTCAGCAAAAATGTAGTCTTTCTAATCAGTAATAATMMTTGATTTTAAAATTGAATACAAATTATAATTTAAATATTTAAAATCCTTGATAGTAATTTTTAAAATTATAATAATAAAATGACATAGACATTTTCAGTTCTGGAAAAATTAAACGAAATTTTCACATTTCATTTAAATTTTATGAATTCTTAAATATAGTTATATATTTTTTTTTTAATATAATGAAAAGCACAAAGATGTCACTATTATAAATATTATGCCTAAACATGGTATTCACTAGGTTCTATATTTAGAATCGTTTTATGAGTGTTATAGTTTATTGCTATTATTTTAAAACGTATATTAATAATAATTATGCGATACTGACTTGTTCGAGTGCCTATTTAATACTTAGGTTTTTTATCCTGTATTCTTGTCCGTTTTTATTATTTAACAGCTGTGGTAGTAAAACTAGTAAAATTTACATAGTAAATCAAACAATTGTAACCATAATCATGATCTTGATAATGATCTTAATTTATTAGTTATTAGGTACTCTAACTGGTATCCCACAGTTTTAAATGTTTTAAAGTGTTCTGGATTATGTATATAGGTAGATATATAATTATCTTAGCATCAAAAAAATGCAATAACTTTTAAGCACTGTAATATTTTAAGCACTATATATTATAGTATGCCTATTATATTATTATCTACATACATTTTTTTTCTTACGAATAATTAATATTATATCAGTTCGGTGTCTAAACTACTGCTTATTAATAACAATTTGATTTACTGATTATATTCAATATATTTATTTAGTGTTAAACACTACAACACATTTTATGATAGTTTTTTAATTTTTTCAAAGGTTCCTACTGTGTATGCTGAAGTTTAAGGTAAATTACGTAATCTTTTAAAATATTTTAAGCACCTATACAATAAACACGTTTGCCTTAACTAGATATTTTCTTCTAGTTAAAAATAAAAGGTTTCGAGCACATACAATTTGTAAAGATACCTACTTACTACAAATTTAATTAAATTAAAATAATAATTTAATTTATTTGGTAATCACTAGTTACTAGTATTTATTCAAGTAGGTACAGTGATATTGAAAAAAATTGTAATGTATAATGCATATATATCTAATTATTACACATCGAAATGAGTTGATAGCAGAAGAAGTTGGATAGGTTTTTAAATGTTCTTATTCTAAAACAACATCAGAATGAACACTATTTTATAGGTTTATGAATAGTGTATATAGGACATAGGCATTTAGGTTTCTTTTATACAGGGTGATTCTTTTATCAAACAACACTTATATGGTGTTTGTGTGTAAATACCACCTAACATACACCTATAACACACAAACACCACCCAAAACCACCCAACTTTGGGAGGCTATRTCTTGTAAACGAATTGACGAAAAATGAAAATTTAAACGTGAAAATTCATTGAAAAAATAGCCTTTTTAGTTTATCAAATTTTAAGTATAGGTTGTCATTTGAAAATCAAAAGTTGATAATGGTTAACCTGATAAATATAAGGGTGAAAATATTTAAAAAATATATAGTTCTAGAACAAGATGGTTCCAAAATTTTGAAAAAAAAAAAATTTGAAAAAATTCAATAGTTTTTGAAATAATGAGTGTTGTTTGATAAAAGAATCACCCTGTAGAGAYGTCTATAAAATTTTATTATGTACTACCAACTAAAAGTTACTACATATTTTGGTTTTTAAATTGTTTTTTATATCTCAGTTTACGATTAATCATAGTTTTGAATTCTCTTTTAGTGGCCACACAATGTACAGAGCCAACTGCGAACATATGAATGTACAATACAAATTTAAATAAGTGTTTTATGACAATTTATAATTTAGGTTGTGTAATGAATTATGAGTTTCAACATTTTCAAGAATATTTAATATATTATAGTTATACACTTATATACTTTATCAATATTGTATCTCCCATATTATTTTGATTTCATAAACTTAAAAACATTTTTGTTTTTAATGTCAAATAATATTATTGTGCTATACGAAAGAAAGAAACATTATGTGAAATWGCAACTAGAATAACTTATTATAAYATTAAAATATCTTCATGATTACCAATGCTACTGTTCTAACCAATCCATAAGTTCTAATTGTCCATACATTTATGTTTTATTTTTAATGATATATTAAGCGARTGACATTTCCTCAAAGCTGATGTTTGGTACAATAAATGTATTCCATATTTTATTAGAATAAAGCTGATGTCATAAGTCTAAAAAAAAATATGAGAACCGGAAGAAAAATATTGAATGAACACGGGCGTGCAAATTTTTAACGGTAAAATGGTTCATCGACATCAGCGTTTGTAGAACACATCCGTTGTGCGATAACAACGGCCATGGTGTCCTGCGATAAACAATTTCCTGTTAATATTTCAACTTGTAGGCTTCAATGCTGGTCTAATTCATAATATGTATGCGATCATTTAAGGTATAATAAATGCTAATATACTTAACATGCTTTAACTATATAATTTAACATAGAAACTAACAAAAGTATTTTATGTTGTTTGATAGTTAAATAAAATGTTGTCAAAAATGTTGTTATTAGTATACCTATTTCGTTAAAACTGTTTAAATGCTATTAATCAAACGGTAGATTTTATTATATCTAATTATATCTAACTTAATAATCAACAATGTTGTAAAGTATTATGCCTATCACATAAATCACACCTATACTAACATTATAACACAGTTATATTGTTCTTTTTAATCATATTTTCTTATCAAGTTATCCCTACAATCATAATAGTAAGGTAGACGTCATAATCGCTTTTATATACATCCGATTCAAGTAATTTTCTTTTTACATTTCTAATCAACCGTTATTTATTATTTGTAGAAAAAGTATTAGATATAAGGTAGAAGTATGTAATGATTTGTCATAAAGCAATCAAACATTATTTTTTTTAAATACAAAACAATAACATAGGTAGGTAAGTAATTATATATAAATATTATAAAAATAGAAAATACGTTCAGTTGTAATATGGTACCTATTTATATTCTAAACTGACTATGTTTCGTAAATCAGTTGCGAGCATGTACGAAGATTTTATTGTGGATACTATTAAACTAAGAATTTTTCATCTACTTTTTTTTATAAATATTGTGTTTATTCTGTAAAATATAAAGTCTACAGTCTACAGTTAAGCATTAAAGAAACCATGCATCGCAAATAGATCGATATTACTATCACTATTAACTATTAAGGCTACCGATYCATATTCAAAGCTACTTCAGATATTCAAAATATAATCCCTAGACCAATATCAAGAAGTGAGAAACTCKATTCGATATAGACATCTACATATAAAAGTAATATTATTTATATTGCGTGTAGAAAAACAAATTATGGAACGAATACAGGATCAGCAGCGATATTATAATATTGTTGTACTTGCTTGACTCCAAAAACTATAGCTTCTGTGGTRAGAAAATTTATAACATGAGTAGATACTCCCTCATATTACATATGTAACGTATATGGATTACTAAATATTATAATATTCACTCAGCAATGAGTGGACAGTTATCAGTTTTTCTTTGACATCGAATTGATGAGTTTCTTTCTATTGGACTTTATACCTTCTTAAGTTCTAGGAATGTATTCAGAATAAATTATAGTGGTAAAAATAACTTTTAAAAATTCAATATGAAAGGTAGCAATGGTACTCAATGTTGAAAAGATTTAATTTCATTTTTTTTTTATTTTTTTAATTTTAAGAAAATAACTAAAATTGTCATATTTTTTATAGGTAGATACAAATCTAATCTCATAAATATTTGATTTTCTAACACTCAAAATGAATTATTGAGAGTTTAAATTCTTTACTTTTTTTTTTATTTTAACAACAATTTTAAAGGAATATTGTATTAATAGTATTTTTTTAAAGCAATCTATTATAATACAATTATAAAAAGCTTATAAAATAAATGAAAATTAAATTTCAAATGTCCACAGGTTTGACAAAATATCAATAAAATATGTTTTACAAATAATCAAACCGTGAAAACATATGACGTATTTTTTAAATGTTTTAACTGCTAATGAACAAGTCAYGAAGAATTAACCYAATACCTGCCTACATTATCAAGATTTTAGACTTGGAATTAAAATATTTCTATCAAAATTAATCGAAAAATAACTAAGTCAAATATTTCAAATGTCTGTGAATAGCTCAAAAGGTTCTAGAATATTTTAAAAACTATATCTGGTCTTAAAAATGTTAA